GTGGGCACCTGTAGTCACAGCTACTCGAGAGGCTAAGGCAGGAGAATGGCTTGAAAAGGGAGGTGGAGGTTGCAGTGAGCTGAGGTCGCACTACGGCACTCCAGCCTGGGCAACAGGGTGAGACTTCATTTCAAAAAAAAAAAAAAAAAGCTAGAAAAATCTCAATGTGGAAACATAACATCATAACTAAAAGAGTTAGAGAACTAAGAGAAACTAACTGCAAAGCAAGAAGATTGTAAGAAATAACTGAAATCAGAGGCATAGTGAAGGACATTGAGACACAAAAAACCATTCAAAAGATCAACAAATCCAGGAGGTGGTTCTTGAGAAAAATGATGAAATAAGTAGACTGCTAGCTAGACTAATAAAGAAGAAAAGAGAGAAGATCCAAATAAACACAATTAGAAAAAACAAAGAGAATATTACCACTGACTCTACAGAAATACAAATCAACATCAGAGAGTATTACAAACACCTCTATGCACATAAGTTAGAAAATATAGAAGAAACAAATACATTCTTGGACACATACACCCTCCAAATCCTGAGCCAGGGAGAATTTGAATTTGTGAAAGGACCAATAATGAGTTCCAAAATTGAATCAGTAATAAATAGCCTACCAACCAAATAAGCCCAGGACAAAACAAATTCACAACTGAATTCTACCAGATGTGCAAACAAGAGCTTATATCATTCCTGCTGGAAGTATTCCAAAATATTGAGAGGGAACTCCTCCCTAACTTATTCTGTGAGGCCAACATCATCCTGATGCCAAAACCTGGCAAAGATGCAACAAAAAAAGAAAACTTCAGGCCAATATCCTTGATGGACATCAATGCAAAAATCCTCAAAAAAAATACTGGCAAACTGAATCCAGCAACACATCAAAAAGCATATCTACCACAATCAAGTTGGCTTTGCCCTTAGGATGCAAGGTTGGTTCAATATATGCAAATCAAAAACTGGGATTCATTACATAAACAGAACTAAGACAAAAATCACAAGATTATCTCAATAGATGTAGAAAAGACTATCCATAAAATTCAACACCCTCTTATGTTAAAAACTCTCAAACTAGGTATTAAAGGAACATAACTAAATAGTAAGAGCCATCTGTGACAGACCCAGAGCTGACCTCATATAGAATGGGGAAAAGTTGGAGGCATACCAGCACAAGAGAAAGATGCCCTCTCTCACCACTCCTATTCAACATAGTATGGGAAGTCCTGGCCAGAATATCACGGAGCATAAGGAAAGAAAGAGCATCGAAATAGGGAGAGGATAATCAAACTATTTCTGTTTATACACAACATGATACTCTATCTAGAAAACCCTATGGTCAAAGACCAAAAGGGTTTTTCAGCTAGCAAACAACTTCAGCAAACTTTCAGGATTCAAAATCAATGTACAAAATTTACTAGTATTCCTATACACCAACAACCAAGACAAGAGTCAAATCAGGAACACAATCCCATCCACAACTGCCACAAAAATAATAAAATACCTAGGAATACAGCTAACCAGGGAGGTGAAAAATCTCTACAAGAAGAATTCTAGAACACTGCTCAAATAAATCAGTGGTGACACAAACAAATGGAAAAACATTCCATACTCATGAATAGGAAGAATCAATATCCTTAAAAGGGCCATATTGGCCAGGTGCAGTGATTCATTCCTGTAATCCCAACACTTTGGGAGGCCGATGTGGGCGGATCATAAGGTCAGGAGATTCAGACCATCCTGGCTAACATGGTGAAACCCCATCTCTACTAAAAATCCAAAAATTACCTGCACCTGGTGGCAGACACCTGTAGTCCCAGCTACTCGGGAGGTTGAGGCAGGAGAATGACATGAACCCAGGAGGCAGAGTTGGCAGTGAGCTGAGATTGGGCCACTGTACTCTAGCCTGGGTGACAGAGCAAGACTCTGTGTCAAAAAAAAAAAAGAAGAAAGAAAGAAAAGAAAAGAAAAGAAAAGAAAAGAGTCCATATTGTCCAATTTACAGATTCAATGTGACTCCTATCAAACTACCAATGACATTCTTCACAGCACCAGAAAAAAAATTTTTGACTCATATGGAGTCAAAAATCAGCCCAAATAGCCAAGGTAATTCTAAGCAAAAAGTACAAAGCTAGAGACATCATGCTACCCAACTGTAAACTATACTACAAGGCTACCATAAACAAAACAGCTTGGCACCAGTGGAAAAACAGACACATAGACTAATGGAACAGAAGAGGGAAACCCAGAAATAAGACAACACATCTGTAACTATCTGACCTTTTAAAAACTTTTCAAAAACAAGCATGGGAAAAGGACTTCCTGTTCAGTAAATGGTGCTGGGATAACTGACTAACCATATGCAGAAGATTGAAACTGGATACCTTCTTTACACTGTATACAAAAATCAACTCAAGATGAATTAAAGAATTAAATGTAGAACCCAAAACTACAAAAACCCTGGAAGAAAACCCAGGAGATACCTTTCTGGACATAGGAACTAGCAAAGACTTTATGACAAAGACGCCAAAAGCAATTGCAAAAAAAAAAAAAGAAAAGAAAAGAAAAGAAAAGAAAATTGACAAATGAGATCTGATTAAAGAGCTTCTGCATAGCAAAGGAAACTATCAAAAAAGTAAACAGACAACCTAAAGAATGGGAGAAAAATTTTGCAAGATACACATCTTATAAGGGTCTAACATCCAGCATCTATAAGGAATTTGAACAAATTTTCAAGAAAAAAAAAAAAACAGCCCCATTGAAAAGTGCACAAAAGACAGGAACAGACATTTTCAACAGCAGACATACATGTCATGTGAAAAAAAAGCTCAATTCACGGATCATTGGAGAAATGCAAATCAAAACCACAATGAGATACAATAATGGCTATTATGAAAAGTCAAAAAAAAAAATAAGAGGTGCTAGAGAGGTTGAAGACAAAAATAAATGCTTATACACTGTTGGTGGGAGTGTATATTTATTCAAACATTGTGGAATACAGTGTGGCAATTACTCAAAGAACTAAAATTAAAAAACTACCATTAAAACCAGCAATCCCATTACTTGGTATATACCCAAAGGAATATAAACCATTCCATCATAAAGACACATGAACGTGTTATGTTCATTGCAGCCCTTTTCATAATAGCAAAGATGGGAATCAAACTAATTGCCCATTGATGATAGACTAGATAAAGAAAAAGTGGTACATACACACCATGAAATACTATGCAGCCATAAGAAGAAATGAGACTGTGTCCTTTACAGGTACATGGATGGAGCTGGAGGCCATTATCCTTAGAAAACTTATGCAGAAACAGAACACCAAATATGGCATGTTCTCACTTACAACAGCAAGTTAAATGATGAGAACACATGGACACGTAGAGAGGAACAGCAGACAGTGGAGCCTACCACAGGATGGTGGTCATGGGGAAGGAAAGGATCACAAAAAATAACTAATGAGTACTGGAATTAATACCTGGGTGATGAAATAGCTGTCTGATAAACCCCTGTGACACAAGTTTACCTATATAACAAACCTGCATATGTATCACTGAACTTAAAACAAAAACTTAAAAAAAGCAGATGCCAAAGAGGATGCAAAGAAAAATGTCTTACATACTCTTGGTGGGAATGTAAATTAGTACAGCTGCTGTGGAAAACGTTAAGATTTATCTGTAAAACTGAAATAGAACTATCATTCAATCCAGCAATCCAACTACTGTGTATCTATCCAAAGGAAAAGAAATCAGATTATGAAAAGGATGCCTAAACTCCCATGGTTATTGCAGCAGTATTCACAATAGCAAAGATGTATAACCTAAGCATCCATTAACAAATGAATGGATGAAGAAAAGGCACAATATAGACACAATGAAATACTATTCCATTGTAAAACAATGAATGAAATCCCATCATTGGAAGCAACATAGATTCAACTGGAGGTCGCTATGTTAAGTAAAATAAATCAAGCAGAGAAAGACAAATATTGTATGTTTTCACTCATATGTGGGAGCTACAAAATTTGATCTATAAAAGTAGAGAGTAGAATGATAGATAACAGAAGCAGGGAAGGGTGTTCAGGGGAGGAAGAATGATGAAACACTGGCTAATGAGTACAAACATAGAGATTTATAAAAGGAGTAAGTTTTAATATTTGATAGCAGAGTAGCATGACTACAGTTTACAACAATATATTGTGTTTTTCAAAATACCTAGAAGAGAGGAATTAAAATATTTCCAACAAAGAGAGAAATAATGAATGCTCAAGGTAATGAATGCCCTAAATTTCCTAATATCTTGACTTTATCATTACACATTCGATCCACATAACAAAATATCACATGTACCGTAAAAATGTGTGTAAGTATTAGGAACCAATAAAAAATAACATAACAGAGTCTTCTTATTTTCTATGTTAGTTACATCCAAGCCACTCTATTGCTGGAACACTATGGTAGTGGTTGTCATGGGGAGTGATGATGATGATGATGATGATGGTGATGGTGGTGGTAATGGTGGAAACAATGATAATATGTAACTGCCAATAAACTTCTAAAAAGACAGCTAATTATGTGTCAGGCATTGCACCAACAAAATTTCAGATAGTAATTAGATTTATCCCGACACCAGTTTGTTAAGTATATGTTATTTTACTAACTTTGCAGTAAAGAGATTGACATTCAGAGAAGTTGTATATGTTCCTCAAATCAATCAAACACTAATTAAGGAAAAATAAAAGTGGTTTAAATAATATAGACATAATCTTTGGTATGACCCAAATTTTAAGATATTGACAGTGGTTGAAGGAAAGGTGGAAATAAATCCAAATGATTATATAATATTACTAATAAGGCAGATTTGAAAAGAAACAAAAGATCCATTCACAAATATTATGCATAGATACTTTATTCAGGGAGTGAAAGGAAAATGACAACTGCACAGGTGGTAGAAGCTCATGCCCAAGGGACAAACAGACACAGGAAACATCAACAGAATTCTCTAATGGTTCCCAGGGACAGAGTTGCTGGTGTTTCTTCCAAAGCTCTGGGAACTGGCACTGCTGAGGACTTCCTTTCTAAGTCTCCACCTGGACAGTGGCAGTATGGCAGCCTCAGAAAGGAAACATTTTGCTATCAGGGGTCATCATGGGCAGATCATAGGCTAAGGGGAAAGAAGTTTCCTGTGTATCCCTTGACGGCTTTGATGAGAAGATGCAGGTGAAGCTGTGGAACGAGGTGAGCCAAATATCCTTATCCTTTCATGGTCCTGATGAATCCTGAAACTGTTACTTGCTCTTGGGTGGACACTTTGGCTGGCAGGGTGGGGAAGGTGTCACCGGAGGATATTTCTGCTGGCACTGCTGAGGTGGGCAGGGCTCTGGACACTGTGGTGGTGGGCAGGGCTCAGGGCACTTCGGGGGTGGACATGGCTCTGGGCACTTTGGCGTGGGGCACACAGGAGGTGGCTGGCAGGGCTGCTTGCACTGCTGCTGTTGGTAAGACATCCTGCTGAAATCTCAGAATCTGAAAGAAATGATATGACAGTGTTCACGGGAAAGGAATCCTCCAGAGAGAGACGCCAAAGCTTATGTAATACCATGACATATTATTAAAGCTTATGTAATACCATGGCATATTATTTCTCCAATCTCCAAAAATTTATTTAAACTCTTAGCTCCCTTTTCATCACTTCCTGTCTTCTCCTTTCCACTTTAGCAAGTTGCTTCATCAGCCCTAGGAAATCATGCCTTTCCTCATACAATTTTTCCGAAGAAACCATCTCTGTAATAAAGAAGCAAGCATGTTTTTCCATGAAAATAACATCTTCAAGAAAGGCAGTCACAAGTTCAGATCCTCTGGGCAATCTCACAAGCTATTCCTATCATCATTATCTGTTGTAAAGCACCGGTGGGTTGACTTGGGCACAGAGTAAGGGCTGTTCAGGAAGGAGTGCAGGCTCTCACACCTGCTAAGACACAACCCTTTGAAAAGGACACCAGGAAAATATGGAAAAGAGAAAAATACTTCATCCCTTTCTTCAAACAAAGGCTTTCCTATTAATTTCTCTGTTCATATGGACATATAACTGTGCATTTTTTAAAAAGCAATATGAAACACTGCATCATGTAGTCTAATCCTGTAGTTCCATTCACTAAGTACCATCAAACCTATGACCATAGGTTTGGATCTGCCAAACTTGCCGTATTCAGATTAAATTCAATATTTCAGGGCACAAAGAACAGAGGAACTCAAGGAAGCAGACTCACCAGGTTCTCCAAAGCAGATCGGTGCTCAAGTACCAGGAGTTTAGGAGTTGTAGAGCAGAGAACCTCTTTATAGGGCCTGCTACCCCACCCAGCAGGAAGGGGAACTACCTAAAACTGGGCTGGTCCAGCAATGTCCCAACTGAAATGCAAATTTATCCATTACTGGCATGACAGGGATTCTCAAATTGGTAAATATCCTGTTCTGGGATCTCTCCACTGGATTAAGTGCTCCTGACTCATGGAGGCTCTGCCTTAGGTCTTAATTTCAGTGACTTGCGGCAAAGAGGGACTTGGGGGATTCTCTAACTGGTGATCAAGGGCTCTCTTTCCTGACTGGAGGCAATGATTCCTCCCTTTCTTACCCCTTCCCTAAATCATAAAACTTTCTGCCCTGATCCACTTTAGCTGAACGCCATATTGTTGTACATGAACCCATCTCCACCTCTACTTTCTTCGTACAATTTGCCAGTGTGCTAGAAGGAAGGAGAGACCTAACAAAGGCCTGAGTTCTGGCCCCAGATTTTTTTGCTAAGTTGTTTGACCACAGCCAGGTCAACTCTCCTCCCTGGAACTGTAAACAGAGGAGCATCATATTTACCTCTGGGTTTGGAGACACTGACCGCATTGTGCCATCTATTGACCCTGTTCAAGCCTGAAATTTTCTGCTCCACCTCTATCTTTCTCTCACAGAACCCCAGATTTTACGTGTATTCCTTTCCTCTTTGAGGGCTGTCTTCTACAACCCTCAAAGCGGCACTTGTGTCCCAGGATAGATACCAGAGTGAGATCCAGTCTCTCCAGTACGTTTGCCACTGCTGCCATCAAGGACTTGTACTAGAGCCTTTTCATTTGTAAAACTGTACTTTTATTCACCACATTAAGGAAATGGAGAAAAGGGAAACAAGGTTACAAGCATTCATTTTAAATATTTGTATTGAACCATGCCTGTATGTTTCCCTGCGAACATCCTATAGAGAGCAAGATGCATAGACTCACAGTATGTGATGTAAATAATTAGAAGTTTTCCACAATAGAGGTCAGAGCACTTAACGTCTGAAATCAAGGGGAAAACATAAACAAAGTGTGATCCTATGTGTTTGCTTTCTCTACAGGTTTTAGTGTTTGAAAAACAGTATTTTTTTATTTGTTTGTATGTTCTTCCATTGTCTTTTCCCAAAGCCCTCCAGCCCTACAACTTGCTAGATTATCAACTCACATCCCAATGTATACCTCTCATCTGACCTTTTTATCATTGTTCACTCAATACAAATGTTATTCATGTGAATGTCTTTCACATCTTTTTAAAACTCTTCCTGTAATCAATGGGACTTACTAAACATTGTATATTAAACATTTAAAATAATGTTGCTGGAGCTTTCTCATCTGGGCCAATGATCAGGAAGCTTTCCAAGAATGTGGTTTTATAATTGAAGAAGAAGAAGGAAGAGGAAGATAAGAAAAAAGAGGAAGAAGAGTGACTCAAATTCTTTGGAGCACTCACCAGCTATCCTCCAGATAGAGCAAGAGCACTGAATCAACCCAGCATCACATCCCTCAGTTAAGCACGTTAGGTTTCCAGATCTGCAACTGCTCCAGTCTATGAAGAAGGGCTTTTGGCCAAGATCTCCACTGGCCAGATGCTACAGAAATAGAACTATCATGTCAGCACCTTTGCGCCAGGTGTTTACAAATAGTGTTCTCACCAAATACTTCCTATAGACCATTACACATGCCAAGCACCATGGATGAAGTAAACAGACTTCTCTCAATAGGTCCCCTACTCCTCCTCAGAGCCTCACATCACATCTACAACACAAATCCCTAGAGAAATGTCTGATTTCTAACATGCAAAATTGGAAAATTGGCTGCCAAATGAGATCACTGTGTGAGATAATACAGTTTGGATCATGCCCTGAGACTCCCCTTCTCAGAACACCCCACTCAAACAGGCTGCTTATCGCAGCAGTGCAGGCACCAGAGTGGCAGCAGCCCTAGTGCCCCCAGCATCTCAGACAGGCTCACTTTACAAGTTGAGGTGGAGAACTGGAAACTCACAGTTCCTCACAGACCAGCTACATGAAGAGCGGCCACAACATGAAGAAGGGCAGCTAACAGTCACAGCTTCCCCTAGTTATGACATCCAGGCCCTGAGACATAGAGCGAGGTATACTTCACACACACACACACACAAACACATACACACACACTCACACCCACAGACCATGTGTCTTTATCTGTCATCTATCTACATGTCAAAAGAGGTTAGCTTTATGTTCTTTAAGAGTCTAATAGCTTTAGGTTCATTCCTATTACTTCTACTTCATAATTTTTAGGGGATCATTAAGTATGAATTATTAGTACTTAAAATGACAGGAAAGAACAAATAACTTTAACATTTTCTGAATCAGACAGTATATTTGAATTTTATTAATTATATATTCACTCATTTGTGTTTGTGTATGTTTATAATGCTAAGAAGTTTACATCACATACATAGTGTTGGTTAACTACTACTACAATTGAGATACACAACTATTCCATTTCCACAAGGCTTCTCTGCTCCCCACTTATAGTCATAACCACCCCTCCCTTCCCAAATACTTACCTCTGGTAAATATTACTCTTTTATCCATCTCCATGATGTCATTATTTTAAGAATATTTGAGTGAATTTATACATCATGTAACCTTTTGAGAACTGCTCTTTTTTTCACATAACATAATGTCATGGCAGTCCATTCACTTTGTGCAAGCACTTTTAATTTTGCCTAATACTTGATTCAACATTTTATCTCACATTTCAATACTATACATTCCACTAAACAAAATAGTACTGGCAAATAAAATTTTAAAATTAAATAGAAAAATATTAAAAAACAGAAATTATGAGAAAATATAATTGATATGTTCAGAGATATGCTAACTGCAACTCTGCATGCATATCACATATCTGCCTTCTGCTTTTATTTCTGAATGAAAGGCTAAGCCTCCATTGTCCTTCCATGCTGAATCTGATAAATTACAGAACATACATATCATAGAATAGTGAAGATCATTAAATTGGATGTTTTGGAAGATTATTTAATATAATTTAAAATATTCTAATTGTACGAAAAACATATGTAAAGCATGACAGCATTTTCATCAACATTATTAAAAGGTAGGAAACATATGAAACAATATATTAAATGTTATTAATATATGGCTGGTGAAATTACAGATGATGTTTATTTTCTTGTTTTACTTTTCAGAATATTCTCCAAATGTTTTCTATTATTGAGGAAGGAATCTTAAAATTATGCTTTGAAAAGCTCACAAGAGACAAGCCTGTCCATTGCTCAATTAGTGAGATAATGGTCTTTTTTCTTTTCAGCATTTTTGGTCAGAGATCAAGGGTGGGGCTGGATGCAAGTAGCAGTTGTTTTATTGTTATAGCTCTACATTTGATCACATCCCTTCTAAAATCTCTCTTGAAGAAAACCCCAATAATATCCCCCGTCCTCATAGCAGTGACATATGTACACAGAAGCCACAGACACCCAATAGCCATATGTATCTGTAAAAACGTTCTCCAAAATTGGTCAATCTTCCTAGGGTAAAAAACAATCAGGAAAGAGTTTGTCTACTATCCAAGACCCAGACAGATAGAAATCATAAAATTGGCCATAATATGATGAAACTGGAAGTAATGGATGATGGGTAGATAGGTAATAAAGATAATAGAACATAGTGATAACAATAGTACCTACCACTAAATTGTCATGAGAAAAAAAATTAAATCAGAGACTGCATATAAAGTACTTAGCACAGGCTACAGATAGTACTCAAAATAGTAAAGAAACACATGGATAATTAAACAGATAGAGGCAAAACATAGATTTCAAGTTGTTTATGGTTAAGAAAGGTATTAACTTTCTCTTTAAGATTGTTTATATCATCCCTATTTTAAGTGTGTGCCAGAAGTCTTTAGGAAAAAGCAAATGAAAATATATGATTTGAATGAAGTGTGCAGAAATAATAAGATGGGCTGTTCTGCACATTTGTTCTTATGTATTAAAAATGAGAGTTGAAGGCGGAGCAAGATGGCTGAATAGGAACAGCTCCAGTCTCCAACTGTCAGCGCCAGCGACACAGAAGACCAGTGATTTCCGCATTTTCAACTGAGGTACTGGGTTCGTCTCACTAGGGAGTGCCAGACAATC